TGATTTTGACAGGTATCTCAAGATGAAAATTCGTTTACTTTCCATCATACCTCGATGACCACACACCTATCTTGCCAATGGCCAGGCTAACGGACTGATCTCTTCAGAAAAACGGTGAAAACGTATGATTTCATGGTTAAGGGATTGTAACACGAGTTGAGGATCAGAGGAAGGATGGCATGGAGAGGACACAAGGGAGTTGAGGTTGGTGAAAGGGACACTGATCTCCACTCGACTTTGTTAAGTTAGCTTCCATTGGTTGTTGATGATTGATTTGAGATTGATCTATACTAGATAAGGATTCAATTGGATCCTTATTATCTTCCACTTTAATTGGAATTTCAGCATCTTTAGTATCAGATAAAGAAAGATTAGCAAGTTTGGGTAAGGTTTCTTCTGAATCCAAATCGGTAGATGAAGATTTCTCAGATTTAATAGGTGAAAGTGATTCAATACGTTCATCATCATCTGACCATTCCGATGGATTCATCACTTTTGAATTTCCTCCTAACCATTGATCCCCATCAAGACTCTCATCCATCACTTCACCTGCTTCTTCTTCCTCTTCTTCTACTACACTATTCAGTTTAGCAGTATGAGCATCCTGTGATGGTCTAGACGGATTGGATTGTCCAGCTTGTAGATTCATATCATTAGCTATCCCCAGCAGTTCTCTTAAATGTTCATTTTCTGAAAGGAATTGATCGTCTTCTTTAAGAATCAAATGTAAGTACATATGTGTGTAATTCAAGTTATTTCATCATGCGATTAGGTACATAATCACATTACAAAGGCCCACATTTAGGGGTAAAGAGTAATACAACCCGGCCTTACCCAACGCAATCGTTGAGGACAGTGTTTTACTTGGTTCATGGATCTTCATCATGTTAAATTCAATAGCTCAGGCTTCAGGCTTGAGCGGTTGAAATCATGAGTATGAGTTGATGCTGACCTACCCTGAGTGGTGTTGGTACTGAGAAGCTCAGTTTCCAAATACCCGCGCACAAAAACTGCACGAATGTTGGACATCTGCGTCAGAGCGAGCTCACCGGACGTCGGGCGCATTTTTGGTGGACACTGTGTTTTGAGCTCTTATAAAGCTTTTTGTTTTGATTTCAAGTAGTTGTTTTCAGAGATGGATCACAATGTGTAAGAAGTAGGCCCATAACATAGTCAAAGGAGGCAACAAGTCATAATCAGGGGGAAAAAAGGTATAAGGAGAATGAGGAGTCCCTGAAATTGCGGGGCTGGGTTGTAAGGACCAGCGTCGAGGGGTGAGATGCAAGAGAAGGCGCAAGGTGATCTGGTACTATAACTGGATTGCTAAGTGAGGACTAAAGCCTTCTGCTCATGAGCGCCATGACTATGCTTGACGTACATGTCACATATGTGTAAGTACAAGCAATGGGATCATAACACCACTCCCCCCTTTATGTCTCAACCTCCTTTTGTAGGTTAGCATCTTTCCACGGGTGGCATTAAAAAACCCACGTGGGGAAAAAGCCATACCCTCACTTCTTTCTCTGTGTCCTTGAGTATCTTAATTCTGAATTGGGATATTTGTTGTTAAATTCTTCTACTACTTCTTTTGCATTTTGAAGATTTCCTTCTGGTTCCCACATATCATATTCTGGTCCGTATCCTTTCCAATTAATAAGGTATTCAATTGTTCTTCCCCTTTTCTCTTGTCTAATACATATTGAATCTTGAATTCTTCATTTTCCTCAATCATTACAGGCGGAGGTGCAGCTTTGTCTTGGCCTTGAATCTTGCTTTTTTCAAATTTCCATAATAAATTAACATGAAACCTGGGTGTATCCTGTTCATTGTCTTTGGCATATCTAATTTGTAAGCAATTGTTGAAACCCTTGCGTTAATAATAAATGGGCCTAGCCAGCGATGAGAGAACTTAGCTGTAGGTCTTGTTGTTGATACATGTTTGCCATTTAGCCATACTTTGTCACCGTTTTTCCAATCCGGTGTTTTTCTTGCCTTGATCTCATGCTGCTTTTTCATTTCTTCTTGTGTAAGGTTCATCACATCTTTTAGCTCCTTTTGTATTTCTTTGATGTGTTGAATTCTTTCTTCTACCGACGGTATTAGCATATTTGAATTAGACTTCTCAAACATGTCCAGATACTTGTGATATTCAGTTGGGACTCTTTGCTTGATCTGCTGCTAATAGAGCTGACAGATTCCAGGATGCTTTTGCTGCATCTATCATTGCTGGTGTTGGTTTCATGGATTGGCGTAATTGCTGAATTACCTTGTTTGGCCGCATTCTTCCCATTTGCTGTTGATTGAATGTCTGTGATAGCGGGATAAAATGCTTGCCAGCGTGTTCTTTTGCCACAGGAGAAATGAAGTCTGTACACGTACTTGGCAGGGGTTTTAATGGGTCTAATATAGCCTCTACCCCCTTGTCATTTTGCCTAGCATGCCTCATTGGCTCCAACTCCTTTTGGTCCTCTGAGGTTTCTTTCGGCATTGACAAAGCTTGGTTTTTACCAGCTGCTAGTTGATTGCTTTCAGTCTTCTTAGTTATTGGGTATGTATCAAGTTCTAAATGATGTCTTTGGTTGTTATCTCCTTCTTTAACTTCTGATAACATGTGCGAGAAATACTCACATTGCGGGGGTGTTAATGAGTTAATAAACTCCACCCCCTCGTTAAGAAACCTAGCATGCCTCATAGGCTCTGTCTTGCAGTCCATTAAGGTGTTTTTCGGTCCTAACGAGATCTCTTCAATGACCGCAATGCTTGAATCTTCAGTCCGTAGGCGTCCATTCTGCCAGTCTATCCATCTATTATTTGCCTTGATCCACGGCATTCCTAAGATTATATCATACTTTTCTCTTAACTCGGTGATTATGAAGGTGGTTGGTGTGTCATTTGGGTCGATTGAGTTTACAATGAAGTCTCCGGGATGAGTTACCTTTGACTCGTGCCCGCAGAACGCTGTGAAACTTTGTATTGTCTCTAAAGGCTCAATGAATAGACTGTTGTTGGAAACAAACTTCTTACTCATTGCCTCATGGGTAGCGCCACTATCAATTAGCGCTCTTGCTCTTACAGTTGTGGCTTTCTTAACATTGAAAATAGTGATCTCATTAATGATTCATGTGTCTTTCATTTCAAGGGAAGTAATATCACTACAATCTACAGTTAAGTCATTTCTGCTCAGGGGAGGCGCAAATAGCACTCCTGAGTGTCACCATTTTTTGAGCTTTCCGCCTTGCTAACTTCTTCTTTTGCTACTTTAACTTCAGCTACTCTTGATCTAAAAATAATAAAACCATTATGATAACCACCACGACCTCTTCCTCTCCAATTTCCCCTTCCACTACCAACTTTCTTCTTCTCAGGACAGCTTCCAATAAAATGATGATCCTTTCCACACTGATAGCATTCCCTTGCCACTCCTCTTCTTCTATATTCATCTCCTGAAATGTTAAACCTATATGCTGAACAATCCATCACATCTGGATCATGAGTCTTTGTGTTCGAAACGTGGTGAGTTGACTCTTGACTTTGTTCATTAACTTCGTTATCAATCTTAATTGCTAATTTTGCCATCTCTTCTACTTCTTCAAACACATCCCTAACCATATGAACCCGAATGCTACCCTTCATACCTTGCTTCAACTGAGAAACAAGAACAGATTGAGGCCATTTTACTATTAATGAAAGTTTGGCAAACTTAATCCAATAATCAGATACAGAACAAGTTTGAACTAAGGTGTGTATATTAGGACCTCGTGAAGTGGTGATCAAGAGTCTATGAGGAAAGGTGCCATGAGATTGTAATGAGATTGCAACGTGAGGTTTGGGAAAATCTCTGACAGGCACAGTATAGTCTCAAGTAGGACTCAGTACAAGCATAGCCTAATAGTGGCTCATAACACCACTCCCTCTTGCTGAGTGAAACATCTTTCCACGGGTTTGCATCAAAAAACCCCTGTGGGGAAAAAGCGTCACCCTCTCACCATTCTCCTTTTCCTGTTGTTAGTTTTCATCCTTTCTCCATATTTACTTTCAAATTCCTTCACTAATTCATTTGCATTTTGAACTCCTTCTTTAGGCTCCCATGAGTCGTGTTCAGTGCTATACCCCTTCCAACTTACAAGGTATTCAATTTTGTTTCCTCTTCTTCTTTTGTCTAAAATTTCCGCTACTTCAAACTCTTCTTTATCCTGAATCATTACTGGCGGTGGTTCTTCATTTCGCTGATCTGGGATTTTGCTTTTCTGATAGCGTCTAAGCAAACTGACGTGAAATACCGGGTGAACTGTCTTCATCGAAAGTGGCAAAGTTAGTTTGTAAGCATTACTAGTGATTTTCTTCTCAATTTTGAAAGGGCCTAGCCATCTGTGGCCAAACTTAGCTGATGGTCTGGTCGTTGATATATGCTTGCTGTTTAACCAGACTTGTTCACCTTCTTCCCAATCAGGAGACTTCAGAACCTTTTTGTTGAATTGAATTTTCATTTCGTGTTGTGCTTC